GACTTAAGAAATGAAAAGATGCAATTTCCTTTAAAACTGGCCTCTTTTTGGCTTCTTAATCTTTCACCAGGAAGATCCTCAAAAATGCATAAATTGGGAAAAGCATCCATAAACCTATTCAAGAAATGAATATTTTTTTGTAAATAAATGGCAGCCATTATAAGAAGATGAATAAAAAAACTTGATATATCCAATAACTAGTAGAAAAAAACATTCTTGTTGCTACAACACCCATCTTTTCATTATTCCTTCAGATTTTGTTTTCTTATGGCATAAAACTTGATATTGATAGTCAATACAATATCTCCACCTGACCAAAATATACCTTACCATTTACTGTGGCATATCATAAAATGGAAGTCTTCCCCTATAAATATAACTTCAAATTTATTATGTATGAAATGACTGGGAACAAAAATGTATTAACATTAAATAAAACATGATTTACTAATTTTTGTTTATTAGAATAGTGGGTGCATGGGTGAGTGGTTAGAACAATAGCATTCTAACCATGAGAACCAGGTTCTAATCTCACCATGGTCAATTTATACTTCTTGATATTATTGACATGCAACACCATTAGGAAGAGCTTGAAAACCATAGGACAGGTTGACACAAGCCTTGTGAGTGGATTTGGTCAGATAAAACAGTTCAGAAATTATTGATGGTTGTGGTAGCATGAAGTTACAAGTCATTGTGATTGAGTGTTTGAGCATACTGGCCTTGTTCCAAACTGTTGTTCACCAGATTATGCACTCTCTCCCAGAAACTGTAACTCAGCATAGTTGCAGTAAAAATCTCAGGTTGGCTCTATAGGTTTTGAGCAGAGACACAAATATGCCTGAGCATGGGATTAATTAGCCACACTAAACTAAACTTAGTATGGTACAAGTTTAAAAGAAAGGAAATAGCAATGAGCAGATCATGTTATACTAATCTTTCAATGTAGAAAGGACTTATTTGCTTTAGAAATTGGCATTTAAAATCATGGGTTTTAGCTAGGCTTGAACACTGCCTGGCAGCAAGACATAACACACTTTACATAAGGGGTCATCAAATTTCTTCAACCAGAGACCCTGTTTTGTTTTCTCTTCCTTCCCCAGTGACCTCTACTTAAAATATCTTTGAACCTAAAAAATCTCATTAATGTTACTAATTAAAATGTTAACTAATATGTATGAAAAATTAAGAAATTTAGATTAGGTTCAAAATTTTCCCCTCATCATCATGAGGTTCAGAATTTTCTTTCAAGACCCACAACGATAGCATGGACTTGGTGGTAGTTTCTTTTTATGTTGATTATAATTAGAAAATTTTGTTTTACCTGTTCTTGAGGCAGGAAAATCAGTTCGGTTTGTTTGTGAGGAGGGAAAATTTGTTTGCTTTCTTTGTGCGGAGGGAAAATTTGTTTGTCTTCGTACTTTGCGTATGTATGCTATGCCAGCTTGTTCTATGTCTTTAGAGTCATTTTTTATGCTGACGCATCTCTGGCAGTCTTCGGCTAGCTTTTGAAGTGTCAGATCTTGTTCATTTTCCAATTTAGTAAGTATTCTACATCTCATTTCTGTGTCTTTGGTTGAAACCAGACCTTGGATGTAAATTAAGCATTTGAAGTTGTCAGCACTGAGTTCTGATAATTTGAAGTTGTCACAGTATTTATTAACAATGGATGCGCAAGTTACGTAATCTTTGCTATCCTTTTTTGTAAGGTTCATGCATTTCCATCTTTTATGAAATAGTGAAGTATTATGGCTGAAAAGTTCCATTAGCAATTTTATAGATTCTTTGAACGTTTATTTGCTTGTTTTTCTGGGAAGGATATAATCAACGAATTTGGTATATTAGCCTGTGCCAAATTTTCTTAATAAAAGGCGTACTTTACGTGCGTCTGACCAATCTTTGCAGTCAAAATCATATAGATCTTCATACCTTCGGAAGTAATTTGCAAAAGTAGGACAGCTATTGTACCCATCAATGTAAATAATGTCAATTTTTTCATTCAGTAGATATTTCAGACTATTATTAGATTTGTTTCATGAAGTGACACTGAGGATACCATGGACAGAACATGTGAATAATGAGGAAGTTTTAAGGAAATATGGACTACAAGATAACTGCTGCTAAAAATCAGAAACGGCCAGATGATATTTTTTGAACACATGAGAAAAGTAATCCTAGAGAATTTAACACTTACAACATTTAACATCTACTTAATAACTTTTAGTTACTGGACAGGAGAACAAGAACAAAGGGAAGTGGTAAAGAGTCAAAAATTAATTTAACAAAAAATTACTTAGCACAAGGGATGGTAAAAGTTAAAAAAATTACTTGAAACCACAAAGGATGCAGGTGATCACGGCTTTCCACAAATTCCTTAGAACCATATTCACCTAAAAAGTTTGGCACATAAAAGATGACTTAAAGAAACTACTTCCTTTTATAAAGTTTTTTTTTTTAAATTTGACTTTCTAGCCTACTCTAACACATGTGTAACCTCAATCAAAATAATTAAACAGCAAATTCTGTTTGTCCATGTTTCTGAAACCCCTCTAACTCAAGCCACACTTGCTCTACATAGAGATATTATACATTTTTGGAATCAAATGCTCCAGGAATTGAAAATCTGCCCTTCATCTGGTGCTTGAATATCCAGCATGGAAATTTGAGTTCGGACTAGAAGGAAACATATAAAAATTCAAATTTTAAAATAACTAAAAAAATTAGTGATTTTTAAAAGTTTTTAATTTAATTATATTTTGAATTTAAAGTAACACAAAATCTCTATGAATTCAAAAAATTTTGTTTTAAATTCGTTTTAAAATATCACCAAAACTTTATGAATTGTGGAAATCACTTTTTTTCTTCAAAATGCCAAGGAATCAGAGTCAAAGTGAGAGATTTCATTAACTGAAGTTTTGAAGTTCTGTGGAGTTTGTGATTTTCATCCTGAATTGAAATTTCTGCCCAAATCAGAGTTTTAACCAGAATTGGACATAGACCGAATCAGTGTTAAACTAAGGTTTTCAAGTTCCTTAGAGTGAATTGAGGAATTCAAAGTTATTTCTTCAAAATTATCATTGCTGTTTTCTAAGCTTGACCAGAAGTCCATTTAGTTTTGGGGTGGATCCCAATTAGCCCTTCACAGGAGCTAGCTTATGAATCTACATTGAGTGCAGCTTTTAAACTAGTTTATAATAACATGAAATAATGTTGGATTAAAAATACATTATTTCCTTAAAAATGACAGTTTCAAACACCTTTATAGTTTAATGACTGTTTCAGTAACTTTATTTTCATATAAAGTTAGTAGACATGGGCTTCAAAAGATCTTAACAAGATATGTGATTTCTTGCATAAAGGTAATTGAACCTTGCTTTGTTATGATTCCCTTTGTGATAGAGTTGTCTAAATTCATGCTGAGTAGTAGTTTCCACTATATAACAGGGATGCAGGTCTGAACATTACCAATGGCACATTTTTTTATTAAAACTCTGAAAAAATAGACAAGTAGATATCTATTATTGTTAAAAACAACAAAAAAAAAACAGCACATATATCCTCACAATATAATTTTATAATAATGAAAAATATATATTGATACATACTATGGTTCATACTTCTCCCTGGTTTTCTGAACAGGAGTAGAGGCTTTTCCTTTGTTTCCTGTTTAGGATTGTGTTTCCTGAAATCTGCTTCAGCTCTGTACTCCTAATGTCTGTGCCTAAACTCTGAAATTTTATTCACTAATTATCTATTTTATTTTACTTCTTTTTTTCCATCCTCCATCAGTAGGAGTAGATAGGTTTACCTATAATCTGGTTCACACTCCTCCCCAATCTTTTAAACAGGAGTAGAAGTTTATCCCATTTCCTGTTTAGGATTGGGTTTCTGGTTCCTTCTAAAGTCTACTTCACAGTAAACCTCTACCTTGAATGGCTCTTGGGCCTAGTATTGAGTGAACATTAGTAAAAACTTTTTTAAAAATATTGCCTGTTAAATATGGAAATTTTGAAGTTAAGTATTTTTCAGAGCAAAAAACACAAAAAGTTGCCTCTATTTATTTTTTTAGCACTACAATTATTAAATCATTAACCACTTAACTAGGTTTTATTTCATTTTTCAGGCCTTGGTACAACTTAGTTCTTGTTGGCAGAACATTAAACCTCAAATAATACTCAAATGAAATTTGGCTTCAAAACAGCTTCAAGAAATTTGTTCAAAATGTCCTAATTTTTTGTTAACATTAGTTTTCACAAGTAAAAAATTTTAAAATTTCCAATTTTTCAAATAAGATTTAAACATGACATTTCTCTCCTACTCCAAACAACTGTTGTCAAAAGACTTTGACGGTTTATTTTCATGCGGAAAACAAATGTAAAATACTCACTTAAAAGTAACAAAAAATAATAAAATAAATTGGTAAAGAGAAATTTAAAAAAAAAAGATGAAATCTTATAAAAGAAAGAGAAAAAAAGAAAATATTACCAAACAAAAAGATGGACACAGACACTCTGCCTTAAGACAGGAGCAAATAATAGAAGTTTCTAGAAGGATTCATATTAATAATTTGACAATCATTGCCAAATGACTTTTAATGAAGTCTTTTAAAAAGAAAATTAGGATATTTCATGTATATTAACAACCTTGCATATCTATTGTGTTATATAGTTTACACTCATTACTAATAGGGATATTTATGAAGAGGTGCTGAAAAGTTCACAGTCTTACCAAGAAACCTAAACAAAAATAATTCCATTTTGTCATATTTGGGGAAATGAGTGGGCCCAAGAACGTTTTGCCTATACTTCATTTTGCTTAATATAAAACATTGAAACTGAAAGTATAATTGTCTTCACAGCAAAGAAAATTTGCCTACCTTGAAAATCAGCATTTGAAATTATGAATTTTATCCAGGTTTGAACAATGACAGGATGGTGTACAACTATATCAGCCATCAGGCAAATCTTACAAACCCATTATAGCATGTGATAGATAGCTAGCTAGCTAGATAGATAGATATGAAAAAACTGAGATAGATAGTTAGATAAATAGATAGATAAATAGATAGATAGATAGATAATGAACAAGCTGAGATAGATAATGAACAAATATATATATATATATATATATATATATATATATATATGACAATATATAATTTTGTATAATTTTATATATCAACAAACAGTATTTAGAAAAATAGTATGATAAATTAGAATAAAGTTTTTGTGACGTGTTTCATCTTTTAGGTTTTCATTGGATTGGACTTTGTTGATATTGCTATGTCTACACATGTGCACAAAACAGGAGATGCTGGTAGTTTCAAAATTTTTAAAAGAATATTTTTTCAATCTAGCCAAATTCATCTGTATTATTTTTCTTTTCCTTTTCTCTCCATCACTTTTATCCCTGACTATCCCACATTGTGATAACAGAAAATCTACCAAGAATGACAAAATATTGTAAGAGCCTGGACACAAATTTACAATGAGTGGACTAGCGATCAAGGCCCTTTCCAGACATTTTCATCTTACTGAATTATTTTCTCTTTTAATCAAAGTACCATTCCCTATGTCAAAATTCTGGTCAGTTTTGTTACAGTGAACAACCAATACATTTTGTGCATTGCTTTTTAAAATGTCTCTTTTGTGTTCGTATAGTCTTTTGTTTAAACTTCTTGAGGTTTCTCCAATGTATTAATTCTAGCAATTCATGCACTTGATAGGATAAATTCTGCCTTCAAGTTTTGGCTTGTTGTTTTGTTTTTTATTGATTAAGTCATTGGTTGTTTTAGGTATGGAGAGGTTTATCTTTGATTTTGTTAGATTCTTTTTTGATAGATTTAAGAATTTTTCAACTGGAATTTTAGTGTAAAGTGTTTTTATATCTAGACTAGCCATGAGTTTGTCAATCATAATTTTATTTCCTTTAGGTTTTCAACAAGTTTGCCTGAATTTTTATATGTCATGGATTTATTGTTCTAAGAAGAATGGTTAATATTTTTGCTCTAGCTATTTTGTAGGAGGTGCTGCCTATTCCAGAAATGATGAGGTGCATAGGGATACCAGTTTTGTGTGTTTTTACAGTCTCCTTAAAACTTTACACTAATATCCTGGTTGAAAAAATTATAACTTTAACCTTACAGTATCCTCAGGCAGTGAATTTGATAAAAATTGCATATGGATACCATAATGTTGAAACCAAGATAAGCAGATTCAACTGACCTCTTGATTTTTAAAGTTAAAAGTTCTACATGTTATTTTTACTTTTATTTTATTTTTTCACACATTTACTGAGCATTTTTAATAACACTGTTTCCTGGTCTGATTCAACTTTGACCATTAACCTTTTATGTATTATATATATTTATAGATAAATAGATAATGAACAAATTCAGATAGATAGATAGATAGATAGATAGATAGATAGATAGATAGATAGATAGATAGATAGATAGATAATGAACAAATTTAGATGGATAAATAATAAAAAAATTCAGATAGAGAGATAATGAACAAACTGAGACAGATAGATAGATAATGAACAAACTGAGATAGAGATATAGACAATGAACAAACTGAGATAGATAGATAGATAGATAGATAGATAGATGAATGAATAGATGAATAATGAACAAACTGAGATAGATAGATAGATAGATAGATGAATAGATAGATAGATAGATAGATAGATAATGAACAAACTAGATAGATAGATAGATAGATAATGAACAAACTGAGATAGATAGATAAGGGTAGATAGATAGATAGATAGATAGATAGATAGATAGATAGATAGATGTTGGAACAAACTGAATAGATAATGAACAAACTGAAAATATATTAGATAATAGATGTATATAGATAATGAACAAACTGAAAGATAGATAGATAGATAGATAGATAGATAATAGAATATTAATGAGACAAACTGAGATAGATTAGATAGATAGATAGATAGATAGATAGATAATAGATTCAAACTGATAGATTTTATGATGAATCCATGTATATGTATAACTAAAGAGCGTTAAGCATTTAGGCTGTTAGGCTAGATAATGCAATGTTCCATCCATTTTTATGATGAATCCCACAGACTGTATCATCATGTGCAGATTTCTCCTAGATGGCAAAAGATTTAATTAGCTTTATTTACTTATCTATCAAAGCTTTAATAATGATTAAATTGTAATACTTATTGAATCTTGAAGAAGTGATAGTAATGCTAAATGCTGATGAAATTATCATTTCCTTTGGTAAAGTAAAAAAAAAAGATTTTAAGAAAAAGACATTCTTAAATTTATAAACAATGATTACCTGTGAAGATTGTTCATTTTCAGTAATTGCAAATGAGTAAAAGTGATCCTGACTGCTTTGAAAGATATATCATCAGGTACAAGCAGCCATCTGTTGGCATGCCGACAAATTGCCCACGATATGCTGCATGTGATAATTTCATGCATCTTTTATATTTGTAGAGATTAAATTATTATTTGCCTCTCTCACCGATTTCTTTTTTAACTGTTCTTGTTTTTTGTTTTGATGTTTTGAAGAGTATTCAATCATATCCAGAAGTCTCTTATGACAAAGATTCATTCTCCTCCTTTGGATATATAAAGCCGTCAATCTTTAACATGTAAATATATCCCTGCATCTCCTGGAAATATAGGAGTTTTATACTCCTAGTAAATCTTGTTCTTCTTCAGTAACTTGCTTCATTTTTGGTATATCTTTGCTTTCCTACTTTGACCCTTTTTCTGAGATCTTGATATGTTTCTTTCACTTGGAGCTCTCCATCTTATTTGTCTTATGTTTTATACAGAGTATTCTTCTTCTTCCATGTAACAACATCTTCATCAAACATCATGAAATTCTCTTGGCTTTGTTCATAATTCATAACCATCATTTGTCTCCTTCTGTAGAGCCATGTTTTCTTGTTTATTTACAAGATCAAAACTAGGAATGCCTACAGAAAGATCTTCTCCTTGGGGCATTATTTATTCAACATGGGCTACTATGCTGTAATGACCATGTTGTTACCTCTTTGAATTATAAAATTGACCTTAATGGATCTAATTCCTCATTCTTTTTACAACATATTCCCAGTATTTCTTTAAACAGAGGAAGCTGGTCTAATGGTTAACACCATGGTAAATAGAATTATGATTAAGATAATTGGTGTTTACTATGCACAAATACTCTTGAGGATGTTATGAATCCACCTCACTCCTCTTTTCCTTAGGAGCCTGTCTCTCTGAGTTAAATATTTTACCAATTGAGCTACAAAGAACACTAGCTGCAAAAACTCAATCTAAACATAAAGCTTTCATTCTTTTTTTAATCCTTGATGTGCTACTATATTTTTTTTTACTTTACTGGATTTGGAGAAAATAAAGAAAAAAAGTAGATTTAGGCTCCTGTAACCAATAGTCTTTATAGCTTAACTGGTGAGGCAACTATCTCAGCCAGGCAGACTTCCCAAGGAAAAGAAGCACAAGATTGATATTATTGGAAATGTATTCCTTTTTTACCAATCCATGCTATATGCCAACAACAAAAGAATAATAGAAAAAAAAAAAAACTACAAAAATCCATCTTTGGAACAGTTTTTCACTATTCTGCAACGGGTTTATTTCCAAGTCTTCCTCTAAAATAATATTACTTTATTCTTGACTCTTATATAATATATAATGGTTTACTGTATTTGACAGCATATATCATTCAACATTCATGAAATAATGGCTGCCTATAGCTGTAAATATTAAATATTGTCTTAAAAAAGGATATATAATGAACAAAAGGTAGAAAGATTTTTTAAAGTCATTTTTTTGAGGAATAACATGTTCTATACACTATCAAATATGGTAAAATGTATAGTTTATATAAATATGTCATTTTAGTCAGTTTATATGCAAGTTGAAAACCCACACTCCAGGCAGAAGTTTAAGCTAGTTCCTGTGGATTGTTGAAGTGGGACCTGTAAGAGATCATGGAATTAAACTATGTATTTATTGAATCTTGCCTTATTTGAAAATCATTACCAACTCTTGGATCAAATATCTTATAAGAGTTAACCGAAAGATAAAGAATCAT